TTGTAGCAACCCGTACCTGGGAGAGTGGTTGAAATCACGTTATTTTAGCTTTATAAAATATTTTGTAGCAGTTTGCGAATCCATAACTGGGGTCATCAATTTTGCAATGTCACGCCGAAGACTGCCAACTTTTTTACCATCTTTCATCACCGTCATGAAAACATTCTTCTGTCGTTGGATAAAAAAAAACTTCCAATCGCCGGAACTTGCTGAATGATAACTCTCACCGTCATTAATAAACGTTGAGTCTGATAAAAAAGCAATGTCACGATTTGACCTTTATGATGAAATACTAGTAGTGATTTCATTATTAGCCAATCAGTAAAGCAGATGCGTAAAGGTCAAAGACGATTGCTAGACTGTAAACAAAAGCATCGTGTGCCATCGCAGCAGAGCGACCCCATTTTTCTTGTCTCTTTATTATGATTAGACATGAATGAAAAGTGCCAAGCTGACAGACTGCGAAATCCAAATTGTATGGGACGATATCGACGAACTTAAGGAATAAGTTGTAGGGATTTTGTTCTACGGCTACAGTGACGCCGACTTGGACTTTGAGGGTTTTGAGTTTGACGAAGATGGCAATGAACGTACAAATAAAGATCTGAGAAGTTTTTTTCAAACAGCTATGAATTTTTATAATTTTTACTGTGTAAATTTGTAAATTATTATTGATCTTGTATGACGGTTGATGCGTAATTTGTCGAGACCGGAAATCATTTTAAGCAGTTTAACCCCTGACATTTTAATTAATTGAGTTCACGCGTGTTTGTCAATTCAAATGATTCCTCACTGTCGATTTTTATTATTTCTGTTTTTTTGTCACATTATAAGCAATACATTATTTTTGTTCTACTTCTAGTGTTGCATATTGTTCATTTATTTCCATTGCATGTTTTCATTTGCCATTCTATTCCCTGCCGCAGTTCGATCGAACTGCGTGTTGCCGATTTTCGCGAATTTTCGCGAATTTTCGTTTTTTTTGCCGGGGATCTCCTGGCAAACGCCCACCCGTTCTTTTTGGCAATTTTCCATGTTCAAGACCCTGGGCTTATACCCGGATAAATACGGTATATGCACACAAATAAATCCAACCGCATACATGAAACTTGATGAACAGTAGCGGTAGTCACTTTTCATATATGAGAATAACACTTACAATCTTCTTTGAATGGCACAGATCTGCAATAAACTATCAAATCCGAAAATTCTTTGGCTATTCGTAAATTACGTTCGTGTTGACGAACATCTACATCCTATGAAAAAAATTAGAAAAAAATATTTGCACATTATGTTCATATGCATCAAAATACTTTAAAACACTTAAATTTTCGATGATTTTAGGTCATTCGTGGAGACTGAATTACATAAAAGTTGATATTATTCTATGTTGTATAATGCCAGGTAATTTTTCATTGGTACAAAATTTTTCATTTTTTTACTGACTCTGTTTACAGTACACTTAAACATTTGCATGCACTTCTATGGATGAAGTGCCTCTAACACAGCAACTCTAACATAAATGGAATACAACATATTAAATGCAAGTACCACTTACCCTTTTCTCCGCCCACTCCACAGCCGTACGAATACTATTTTGCCAGGATAGTGCCTCCTCTTCGGAATCGGCCGCTACTTCTAGTGGAATTGGCTGACTTGGACTCATTATGCGGAATACATAACGACGTTCACCTTTACCCCCAGGGATGATATCTGTAAAACAAACAAAAATAGATTAATAGTTATTATTATACATTTTTCATCATATCTAGGTTACAGTGCTGTTATTTTGCGGTACTACACAGGACATCTGCATTCTATAGCACATGTACTAGTAAATGTGAATTCCAAATATTTGATTATTTTCAAAGTTCCAATGATTTTCACCATATTGCTCAGTTCTGAAAATCTCACACCAGTGTAGTGATTAGATAAAGATGTATATTAATAATGTTATTACAAGAACAAAATAATCTTCTAAGTATGCATCAATACTGTTAATATGTTAATATTCAAAAAGCCAATCAACTATTACAACAAATTCAAACAGCCAATCACCTATTACAACAAAATCATACAACCAATCACCTTTTACAACAAATTCAAACAGCCAATCATCTATTACAACAAATTCAAACAGCCAATCACCTATTACAACAAATTCAACCAATAAGCTATTCAACAAATTCAAACAGCCAATCATCTATTACAACAAATTCAAAACAGCCAATCATCTATTACAACAAATTCAAAACAGCCAATCACCTATTACAACAAATTCAAACAACCAATCAGCTAACCACATGCTAATTACTCCAAAGCTTACCAATGCAACATCCCTGAATATCAATGACACCTTTCTGTAAATTCCCCAGTGGTGTAGAATCTGTACTGGAATCCATAGACGAATTCAAAGGTTCTAACTCCTCCACATAATTTGATGGAAACCACATTTGTTTTTTACCTCCATAATCTCCTTTCCACCTGGGAAAATGAACGAAAATAAACCAGAGAAAGCTCAGAAAGATCTTACATGCAATAATTGAGAGATGGAAACAG